TGGTTCAATTCATAATACTTTGGAGCAATCTTAAATGATTTTTAAAGATATGAGTTTGGACTGCTTTCAATGGATTGCATTTCCAGGTTGCATAAAAATGCAGCTGTTTGTTCCACTTCTGTTGCTAGCTAAGCTGCTGAAAATAGTGACAAATTAAATTTGTCAGCCATTTGAAATAGTTTTAATTCAGATACCACTGTCAAACCATTTTCTAGTTCTGAGAGAATTCTGAACATCGTTCTGAATTACTCTGTTAGAACTATTTTCCATTAAACAGAATAGGTCAAAAGCAGGATTAAATTATTGTAGATCATAGATCTCAACACTGCTACTTTCCCTGTAAGCTATGCATCTATGCTCCAAGTAAATAAAAGATCAAATTAATCAACATTTTTATCTGATCTCAGGTACAAGGTCATTTTTTTTGCTATTCACAGAGCATATCAGTAAATTACTACATGTGCTGAATTACAAATATGTGACATTCTTGGTCTTTTCTTCCCACTGCCCCAGTATTGTTGTCACACAATCTCCTGACCTAGCCTGGACAACAAGAGTGTCAATGTCCACAGGCTTATTATACTGTTCTGTCCCCACGCTATCTTAACTACTTGGAAGATGAACTGGCTGCGCAGGGAACAGATTGGAGACTATATACGAGGGTTATCCGGAAATTAAGGTGACAAGATTTTTTTTAAAATACAAAGAATGAATATATTGTAATAAAACTTATATAAATTGTAGCAGAGGTATTACATTATTTTTCCACATAATCACCATTCAGTTCAATACATTTTGTTATCCATGGGATGAGTTTCTGATGCCTGTGTCATAGAAGTTTCCCTCTGTCTTTTTCAGCCAGTTTGCCAATTCGATTTTCACCTCATTGTCGTCAGAAAAGTGTTTTCCACCAAGGTGTTCCTTCAATTTAGTGAACTGGGTGTGAGATTGGGGCTGTTAGAGGGGTGGCTTAACATAACCCAACCAAGTGAAATCAACAACTCTTGTGTTGCACGAGTGGAGTGTGGGTGCACATTGCCATGAAGAAAACAGACTCCCACTGTCAGCATCCCACAATATTTTGGGTGGCTCTGAGAAGTTTCTTCATGGTCTCACAATATATTCCATATTTTGTCACATGCTTTCTTGACATTACATCCTTTCCATAAATGGAAACGATTTCATGATTAATTGCAGCCGCGTTCATGCACTTAGCATTTAAGTAGTATTAGAGGGTGAACTTCACACTTGCGGGGAAACAGAATGAGGATGCTAATCTCTAACCTTCACCACCATGCCAATTAATGAGCTACTAACAACTGGCACTGCCCATTTGCTTCCACTGACTTCCCACTACATGGCAGTGATACCAACTTCCCCACAAAAATTCCCCGTGAGAGTTACGTGCCTTGTAACCTCACTTTCCAGATAACCCGCATAGTTGAATCAAACAAAAATTTATTTTTAACATAACTGTTAATAAAATGCTTTTTTACAATATCAATAAAATATATTGGGAAGACAAAGAGAAATAGAGGGTACCAGGGGTATCAAAGGAATGGGTTTTGGAGGGAAAGGGGGGGAAAAAACAGGAAAAGTTTAAGAGAATAGAAAGTGGGGAGGGGGAGAGATATTACAAATGTCCAATCTTCATCAAATTGGTTTATTAATAGTCCTTAGAATCCATCTTCTTATGCCATTACTTCCCTTTTCATTCATCATCTTGTTGAAAAATTCTTCTTTTAAACAATAATTTATTAACTGACAAGAATTTTAGACTTTCCCTCCTCCTGAGTCTCACTACAAAGTCTTTATGGGGAGAGATCAAGTCTTTGAGAGATAGACACAGTTCTGGCCAAAGTGAGGCTCTTGAATCTTTATTTCTTCTTATTGTCTCTTTCTTGTATGGTGTTCAACTATCTCTAAGATTGTCTCAATATTTAACTCTAACTGGACTTGAATACAGCTCTGACTGGACTTGAATGCAACTCATACAGGTCGGATCGGACATGCTATTTGTAGATCTTCCAGCCTTCCTCTCTCTTCCACTCATGAAAAAAACCTTAATCTTCCAGGAACAAGAAGTGCCTTGCCTGAGGCTCCACGCTCAATGGAGGCTTGAAATGCAAAGAGGCTGTCTAGACTAACACACACACACACTCGCCCCCAGAAACTGTACATAAAATATTAATCCAACTAAAAAAGGCTTAACTAGTGGTAAACAGTTAGGGTCATGATAATACTGTATACAGTTACGGGCCCCATATATGTTGGTTAACTTTTCTATATTTGATTATTTATGAGTTTGATTAATATTTTCACTTTAGGAATCTCTGTGTCCTCTAGGGTGACTCTATGGTCAAGTTCTTCTGTATGTTAACTATAGTGTCACACTGGACATCCTAGAGATTCTTAGAGAGAATATTTCCTAGGAATCTCTGGGTTCACCAGCATGATTCTATGGATTTTAACCATAAGTTGTGCTGGAGGACCTAGAGATTCATAGAGAAATGTTATCTCTAATATTTAAAAAATTCTCAGTTATTCCACTTTCATGAGATCCCTGCACCCCTAATCCCTGTGAAAGTAGAGGGCCAACTTCTATGTTTTATAGCATACAAACCAACATTCCTACATCATAATGGCTACAGAAAAATTCTTTCTGCAGGTACCACTTGCCAAACATCCAAAGATAAGGGATCTGGGTGTTTAAGAAAGAATGGCATGTAGAAATGGAAGAAAAGAGAGAGGAACTTCCCTTGAGTGTGATTCAACATGAACAATGAATAGAATAACCCTGAGAGAATTTCCATTTAGCTTCTCAGTGACTAGGCTATTGTGTATTTGCATATGTGCTCCAGTTACCTGCTCTTACTTGAACAAATCTTCAGATACTCTTATGTAGAACATAGTTGCAAATGTAGTACTCTGATATCCTCCCTAAAAAATTACATCATGATAAATGAAATAATTTGGAAGGATATCCAGTGGGAACAGAATGTGTGTAGGTAGTATAATGAGATCAAAAGGAGAACTAACACTATAAAACTAATGTGAAAATTTGCTCTGATCAGAAATGACAGGGAAACCACAAAGTAAGATTTTTGAAAACCTTTGACTACATTAAGTCAGCTCAATCAACTGTCAACTGCCCGGAACCAACTAATAGATTGCTGAGTTACAGGAATACGCTGAAATAGTTTTATCAAGAGCAAGATGATCAAACACAGAATCTTCAGACAAAGGGACTCCACATGTTTTTCTGATTTAGAGAATATAATTTAAAGGATAAAAGAGGTGTGAAGCCTGAATGTATTAAACACCATCCTTACCCACCATTCTTATCTTTGCAGAGCATCCAGTAACTTGCTTTTCAGCCAATCAGGCTCTGGACAAGAAGGGACTGAGGAGGCAGGGAGAGCTTATTCCCCTACACCAGTCACTTATACAAGTATCTTCTGGTTTGGGTATCATTGGTGCAGGCCTTCATTGAAAGACAGAATTCTAATAACTGCAAGCATTTTAAGAGTTGACAGCCTTCCTTTCAGAAGAACCAGAATGAGAAGAAATTATTTAAGTTAAACCCTACACTGCACTGAAGCCTGTAATACTATTGATCTCACAAGAGTGCCATCGGAGAGCAAAAGCTTTCTAACAACCCCAGTCTAAAAATGACAAAGGAAAAGGCACCATCAGAAGGGATTTCTCAGATGTCTTCCCATATTTACTGGTATTAAGGATCACTTCTGACACCATAACTAATGGACATTTTCCATATTAACATGATTTTATAGACTAAGTAATATGTGCCAGTGGTATCTCAGCGCCCTTCCACACAGCCCTGTACCCCAGATATCAAGGCAGAAAATCCCACAATACCTGCTTTTAACGGGGTTATCTGAGTCCACACTCAGATAATGTGAGATTTTCTGCCTTGATATTCTAGGATATAGGGCTGTGTAGAAGGACTCCCAGTCCTTAGTTCTAAATTATGGTTGTCTACAAGTCATCTCTGCCACCACTACCTTGGCATCAAATATCAGGTCTGAGAAAGGAAAGGCACAGCACCAGAATCAAGCCTATTTCAATTAACACCTGACCCACAAAGGGGTCTGATTTCAAATGGGGTAGTGAGGTAGCAAAACACACAAAAAATGTTTTTTTGAATTCTCAACATCAATCAAACTTTCTCAATATCCTACATCATCATTAGCTAAGACTCTCGTAATTGGTAGCTATTATTTCTGTCTCTCCAGTACTCTCTGGAAAGAAATTTTAAAATAAGAATGTGTACAGTATGTATAAATATGTACAATAAATACATTGTGAAAACAACTTGATAAGAAACAAAATCTACCTGGAAGAAATGAGCTGACAGTATATTTGTTAGAAGTGACATTATTACACTCTAGAAGTCTTTTGCATATGGTTATAAAAATGGATGTCGGGGACAATGTATTTATAACTGATGAACTTACCAAGGCAATTTCATTTTAAAGACCAAGTATATTTCAAAGTGATAGCCTTGGCATGAAAATAAACCGCAAGTGTTGCAAGGATTCATTTTCATTTCACTGTGTCCCATGGTTAATGTTTCCCTCCTTCTAAAAATGTAGCAGAAGATGTCAAAGGAAGAAGGACAAAGTGTGGCTTTGCTTGCAAAAGCTTTCTGAAGAGTTTTTTAACATATGAAATCAATTTGCATCTCCAATAATATCCTTCAAATTAGATGACACTATGTAGTTAGCAGGTAATTTACTTTACAGCCAAAGCAATTTGATAGTTATTCTGATTTGTGTTTTTCATTTTGTTTCTTAATGAAAAAAAATTAATGAGCAATGTTACTGGAAGTACAACTCCAACCGCTGACTGGAATTATTAAGCATGTTTTCAATATACTGTACATTGTGTTGATTGCACCATCAGAGCCTGAACTTTTGCAGTGCAAACCAGTCAATTAACCTGATGTGTGATTTGTAGCAAGCGTTTCTGGCACTTACCTTTACACTGATTTGTGTTTTTGTCTAGAATTGCTTTCGTGGATACAATTTTTCCATATCTGAAAAACATAAGCAAAAAAGAAAAAAGAAATGTCTGTCTGTATACGGTTTCTCATTTCATTTTGCTTTCACACCTTGTTCAATTGGCAAGTATCCCTAAGACCCACAATGCAACTTCAGTATACTTGAAAAGTGCAACCTAAACAATGCTGGATGCATCTATACATTAATGTTCCACATGCTGTCTCTGCATTTCTGGTCTGACCTTCAAAGGCTTTTGCCTCACTTTTGAAGGTGGCTTGTTTCCCATGTTTACTCTATAATCATCTTCATGGAGTCTAGGTTTCAGGTTTATTTAAGGGTGTGAAAACAAACCAACACTTTCCTCATGAAGGTATGTTGATTAAATCAAATTAAAGTTGTATTTTTCATTTAAATAAATAACTAGAAGGGATGATTTTTATGGTTTGCTTTGAAGTTAGATAAATACTGTACTGAAATCAGGTTTTTTAGAGAGATTGAATGGAATTTCAAATCATGACACACCATTGGTAGGATAGTCTGAATTTAAGTGTCATTGGTAATTAGGATTCACTGTGATACAGCATACCTGGGAAAGCAGATACATTTCTTACCAAGATCTTTATAAAAGGAAAATACCAGGATTTGAAAAGGATGGAGAGAGGGTAAGGATGGTTTTTTCAGTACCAACAACATCCCAGATGAGGACACAGGCCTATTTGATGGTTCCTCCCAAACATTGGAATTTTCTTCCATGGGAGACAAGGCTGGCCCTTTCTTGATTCTCTTTCCACTGGAAGGTAAAGTTTTTTTTTAATTTGAAGAGTCTTTTGGCAACTCAGTGGCTATGCAGAAAAGCCACTTGAATGGATTGTATGTGCGACACATTCATTAGTGTTGACATGTTTTTAAATTATTTTGAATGGTTTTAAATTATTGCTATTTTAATATGGCAGTATTATTTAATTGGTTTTTTTTTAATTTTTATTATTAAGTTTGCATTCTAAAACCTTTAAAAATTCATGCTGTGAGGAGAACAGGGTATTAAACAAACAAACACATTTTTTCAGTTCACAGATATAATTTCAAATCACACTAGATACTTGTATTTAGTAGAGTGTTTTAGCTCTCCAATTCCACTTCTTAGAGGAAGGGATATTGAAGCTCTATAGTGAGAGCATTTCAATGCTGTTTGCTAATTCCCACCCCAACCCCCAGTAGGACTGATAGCATAATTGTTCAAAACACATGGAACTTTTTCCCTGTTGTAGGACGATTCACATCCATTTCAAAGGTGAAGAGGCATGGGGCCCACTGCGTGATGTTGCCTAATTCCAGTCGTCATTCATTGCTCTTAGTTCTTGAAATGCAGATAAAGTATGCTGAAAGGAGGGAGCTTAGAACATGGGCAAATAATCATGTTCTGAACTCCTGGCACATGCTAGAACTATCACTAATGCCAAAAAAAGCACAAGCAATGGGATGTGATAGATTCATTCATGTTGAATCGTTTTAATGACAAGGAGGAATGGATGTTCCTAACCACTTTGCTTTCACTGTATTTTTTTTCTTTAATAGTTAGCTAGCCTGGAATAGCCTCTTGCTAGCTTTTTAACATAACTCTGGTTTAATGGAGGAAGGAAAGCCTAACAGGAAGGGATCATGGCAAAGTGGTTTAAAATTACACTGGTCTAATGAAGGAAAGCACATCCTTACAAGAGGGGATTGCGGTAAAGTGGTTTATAATTACACTATATAATGGAGGAAAGGAAAGCAAGGGAAAGACTTATCATGGCAAAGGGAGTTAAAATTCTCCTGCTCCCCCCCCCTCCAAATAGGTTGAGGTCCATAGTAATCTTGGCTTTCTATATTAAAGTTTTCCCTGATTTTTTTTAAAAAAAATATCATGGAGAGGGCAGAGAAAAAGATTATCTGTGTGATCGTTCAAACGTGAATAACAGGGGGGAAAACTGAAGAGGGAAATGTGTGATGGGAAAACAGAATTTGAAATGGAGTGATTGAGGATTGAAAGGTATGATTCCCTTCACTAGACAGACAGTCCCCCACACTTCTCAAGGTCCATGTGATGAGGTCCCTTGCTGGATCTCCAGGACATGTAGAAATTAAGTACGGCTTGCTTGACTGGGAAATTTGGAATGTCTTATATTGCACGTCGTTTTCATAATACTTGTCCACAAAAGAAATACGCCTTGTGCCCAAATATGTTGTTTTGTTGGGAAGAGGGCTGCCCCTGAGAAAAATACCATGCATATTTTAGTATGACAGTTAGCAGTCTGGCTTTACATCACTGCAAATTTAAACTAGTCACACTAAGAAATAAGGAACTATTTGTAAAAGGCAAGTAACTCAACCTTTTAAAACTGTTCTTTGTTTTGATATTTGTGGATTCAATTCAAGCACAATGGACTCATATACCTAAAAATATCATCAAATGGTAACAAACGGGTGCCGAAATTGTATGCATTTTTTCAAATGACATGAACACTGAACTTCCAACTTAAAATATGAACTCAGGTTGAAGGAAGGAGATTCCAAATTAAAGTCTATAATCTAACTAATTGCCCAAAACTAATTGCCCACAATCTAACTATGTAGTACTGAGACACAAAGAAGGATTATGTGAAGTATTTGATTGGAACTCCATCCCCACATTATGTTCCTGAAAATGGCATTGTGGAAATAACTATAATACGACAAACTAATTAAAATAATAATAAAGATACAGATCAATAATATTTTTAAAAACACATGCAACATCAGTCCTGATTCCACTTTAAAACAGCAAAATGAAAACAAAAAATATTCAGACACCTCTAAAAGCCTCTCAAAAGGACCAAGTTTTACCTCACATTGAAAAAGCAGGAAATTGCTCTGATGGAGGTGCTTTCCCAAATCTGAATGTTCCCATTACATTTTAAACTTCTGGATTGGCAAGTATATATACAGGAGTATATGTTGCAAGAATCAATTCCTAAAATTCTTCTCCCTACTTATGAACTGAGAAATATGGGGGAGAGATACTGAATTTATCTAGAAGAAAATCCTCAATTCTACAAACAAGTCAGAGTCTGAAGTCAGAATTACTGACGATTTACAATTCCAAGCTTCCTTGGTAAGTATCTCCAAGTTGGAGTTTAACAAATTTTACTTCCTGGTTAGTTTACAGATAGTTTAGTTATTTCTGTTTGGGAGGAACAAGGAGAGGTATTGTATTATATGCAAATTGAAGCCTATGAGTTACTGGCACCCCCACATTGGTGGGATGAGGGAATCTAATTTCTGGACCATGGGCTGCCAGTGATACAGATAACAGTGTGTTCCAAAATTGCGTTGCTTTTCATCTCCACCTACATACATCATACATGACAAATATTTTATGAGATTTAATTTCAAAGCTCTTAAGAGGACCTAAACAGGACTGAGTGTTCTATTCTGTTTGATTTGATGTTGTATCAGTTAGCACAAGTAGTTCATTCTTTTTATAGCTAAATATCTATAAGCAAACTGTTTCAAATTATACAAACCAGATGTGTATATGCAAAATATTATTCAGCAAAATGTCCACAAAAAAAAATAAGCAACGAATCAGTAAATTGATCTCTCCATAAGCTCTGCTACTCACCAGAATTAATTGCAGAAATACATTTTGTAATCATAAAGCATTCAAGGAAAAGAATGAGATATTTTATCCATGGGAATGTAACATTCAAGCGAGCCTTGTGGGTTAATGTTCTTTGGGTTCATGGGAACTAGTTGAATCAGTGCAATTGTTCAAATATGCTATAGGAACTGGTCTCTGTCTTGTTCTCCACATACAACGAAGTGATCATCAACGGTGTGTCTGAAAAGTGTAAATTTTACCTTATCTTCCTACTAAGTGTCCTCTTCCTTATGGCCATCATTTTACTTGACAAAATATCTCTCTGCAAAGACTTCCCCCTACCTCTACCATCAGAATTTCTCACAGTTGGACTTCCTCACTCTTTTCAAAAAATAAAGGTGCAATCTCTATCAAGGGCTGTCAAATGAACAGAAGAGAAGGCAGGTGTAGTATTCTGTCTCTCAGTGGCCACCTCCATCCATCTCTACTTTGTGTGATAAGTCAGAAGAGTAAGTACATTTCTATAAAAATATATATGTGGGGCTGATTGGGGTAAATTGTAGAAATATGATATATATATTCTGTTTTGTCATACCTAATTACTGTATTATTCTAAGTGTCTTATTTAACTTACTACGTAGAGTTTTATTAAGTTGTAACAAGCGTTGTTGTTTGATCCAGTTTGGTGATATGACCTAAGAACTAATCAATACAATTTATTCATTTATTGATAAAATATGCCACATTTTATGTAATGGTTTTCAAATTACATGCATTCAATCATTACTGCCTCATAGCATAGCTGTATGTATGCATGCTTTACTTCAGAATGATAAACAAAAGAAAGAATCGTTTTGCACCAGGTTTTCATATACAGTATTTTGCAAGTACAGGCAGTCCCCAAGTTATGAACAAGATGGGTTCTGTAAATTTGTTCTTAAATTGAACTTGTTTGTAAGTCAGAACTGTCGGAAGCCAGATGCCTTAAAGAGCCAGACTCAGGAGTATGTCCAAAAGAATAGTTTATTAATACAAAGCAAAAGAGACTCAGAGACACTTGCTTCAGTGCCTCTGGTCAAAACTCAAAAGTAGCAGCAATTATTAGCTTAAAAAGCAAACTAAAGCGATAATCCGGATTATCCAGAAAAAAAATCCGGATTAAACTGGAGACCTTCCAAAATGCCGCAAAATTACACAGCAAATGGAAAACAATCAAACAAAGAGCCGTGAAGAAGAGCCGTAGTCCAAACGAAGTCCAAAGTCGAAGAAAGCCAAGTCCAAAGTTGCGAGGTTCTAAAGTCCAGAAGGCAGTGTCGTCATCAAAAGCAGTCTGAAGTCAAGGAAAGGGGAAATCCACACTCACGAGAATCAAAGCCGAGTTGTAACACGAAGGTAAACAACAACCTGCAGATCCAG